ATTTAGCGTTAAGTCCCGCCATCTTCCAGCAGTGACGTCACGGTGCGGTAAGCCTAGCGCCATTCTCCCCGCTTTCCAAGCTAAATCAATGGGAACTACTAGACACATCTGCAATCAACAACAATTATTGAAGATTTCCAGAGGACTTCACCATTGAAATTCACCAGAGCTATAGTGAAACTGACAATGCCCACGTGCATGGCAGCTGGATGCTGGAATACATCGGGGAAAAGTGAAAAAAAAGAGTTATTCCACCTTTCTGATTCCTGATCCTCCACGGACGGGTTGGTCGTTGGATCGCCAACTTGAAGAGGGAGGATTTGCCATCGAACTTCTGGCCAGAGAAAAAACCCGTAATATGTAGCCAACATTTGGAAGAAGAATGTTTTCAAGATGACATGGATAATAGCGCGTTGTGACAAACACCAGATACAGCACTGGGACTTGATCAACAGCCGATACCGCACCGTGACGTCACTAACCAGTAGGTGGCAGTAGTGTTCTTTGACAAACATGGATGCCTCCAGTAAAGCACATTCACATGAAAATTACTCTAAATTAAAAAAAAAAAACGTACAATTTATTGAACAGTATGTAATATTTTCATATTTAAAGTACTTTTAGAAGTTTTTATTCTGAATATGACCGAACTTTTCCTTTAAACGCCCTATGCTGCCCTGTATGGCCGCTATGGTAGAATGAAATTGATATTAAAGAACTATATCATATAGAATGGGTGCAATGTATGTGGGGGATGGGGAGGGGTGGAATTGCCCTAATTAACTATGAAATACCAAGACACTTGGTATTAGATTAAATGAATTTTGTTAAATTTGTATCTGTTCTAAACATCGAGAAAAAAAATGTATTTTATAAAGTCAAGATTCACTCAACAGTCTGTAAAAAAACAACAAATTAAAACGAAGTCATCAGATGAGCAGGACGGAGTGAAGCTTCATCTTCAGGCTGAAGTCATGAGTTCAGACATCAGCTGTATGGAGGGAAGTCATTCATCAGGTTACATCACATCGTAAACAAACCTTCTTAATGTTCATCAGTTTAAGAATAAGAATATATTCTTATTGCCTCATGGCCAGACAGGACACTGTTGGAAAATAAAAATAAGACCTTCATATCATTAAGATAGACACAGTTTGGTCATGAAACTGAAGGAAAGTAAACTAAATAAAATTTTACAACAAAAAATAAAATACCTGGAGTTCTGACCCAGTCCGCTAACCATCCCAATTTGGTCAAACTTTGTTTTTCTTAATAATTTTATCTTTATTGATTCTCAAGAAAGTATCATTTACATAAACATAGGCGTCTGCATCAAACGATTAATTACATTTGAAATAAGGTGGACGAATAGGCCATTATATCAGTCTATACAGAAATACAACCTCACTTCCCCCCGAGAACGATTATAAAGCACGTAGTAAAGATTGTGAAAGATAAAATAAAAAAAAATGAAGAACATAAAATAATTATGAAATCTGGCAGTCATAGGAGAGTGGATTGTCAAGGATATTGGAGTTAGGTCTCTTTTAAGTTTTACATAGTTGCTAGATCTATACAGAAATTAATTTTACCTCTACATTACATCTGATTAGTATTTATTTATTGAAATATACTGTTTATTTTATAAAGCATTTGCTTATATTTTGTGGTTATAATACATCACTTCATTAGGCTTCTTTTAATGTCCTGTGTCTTTTGTATCTATGCTTCCTTTTCTATGTCTGCTTCTGTCTCCTTGAACCCCAGTGGGCCTCAGCAGATGGCCGCTCACACTGAGCCTGGTTCTGCTGGAGGTTTCTTCCTGTTCAAAGGGAGTTTTTCCTCTCCACTGTCGCTACAAGCATGCTTAGTGTGAGGGATTGCTGAAGAGTCAATGAGTCGATGCAATCAGCTGGTTTTCCTTAGATAAAGGAAGTCTATTTACCCTTAATTTGAGTTGGTAAATGAGATGAATTGACAATAGAATGAATATTTTTACTCTTAAAATAAGATATTTAGATAAAATGCGCTTGAAATGTAAATTGTGTTGTTCCAATGGCAAAATGTCTGTTTTATCTCCTCGATCCAAGAACAAATGCACTTATTTTAAGAAAAAAAAATTACTTATCTACATCTACAATTTTTTCCAGTGCGTTTTAATTTTTCATTTATTAACAATTACTTGACAACAAAACCACTGTGGGTAATTATTCACATTAATATACTGACTGATTAAAGATAAGAACTAAATTCATGCTCTTTCAGAACTAAATTTTGTGTTATATGAGGTAAAGAGAAAATTATGTGTCTTTTCAAGTCATCTAGGAGTCTTCAGGGAAATCGTAAATAACTAATACATACTTACATTTTTTGTAGATATAAGTACTGATAATTATCAATTTTATGCAGAATGATTACTGATAAAAGTAGGGAAGTAATGAGAATGGAAAAGATTGTTAGGTTCAAAAATGTAGGTTTGTAAAAGAAGAACTGAGTTCACACAGAAAGGGATTCTCAAACAGCTTCTGCAGAAGGGGAAAGAGCCAAACCCAACACTCTCCCTCCGACCCCCTCCTTGCAGTGCCTTTATTAACAGAACATAACACATGGTTACAAAACAGAGTATTGCTCTGAAAGGACAATTGATCAGGTCATAAGACAGGATGCTCTACTGACTGAATCACAAGGCAGAGTGAAGCATCTCCTTGCTTCAATGTTTATATGTAAACCTAACAAAGATTTTCACCCCAAACCTGAAAGACCTGTATTCACTATACCAGAGTTAACCAATTAAAAATCAGCAGGATCCGAATAAAGAAAATCAACAACCAGTAAAGGTCTGGAGACATTTTTTTATTATAATCAATTATAATCAGTTACAGTAGAAGTAGAAGTATAGATACTGCAGTTTAAAAACACTCTGGTAAAAGTATCAACTTGACCTTTTTACTCAATTAAAAGTGAAAAGTATGCGCTACAAAAACTACTTAAAGTATAAAAGTATAAAGTAACCTTTAAAAAAAAAAACAGCCAGATGCCACTATATGAACTGAAAGCTCAATTTTTCGACTATTTCTAAAAATTCTGTGAGATAGGGCCAAGGATGAGGGAGGTCTTGTTGGTCTCCGTCTCCCGATACGCTCTCGCCTGTGTCCGACCTTTCAGACATTTCAACATCTTTTTCTGAATCCCACATTGTAGCATGGCATAGACAATTCACGTTAGCTTCTGATGGTTTCCTTTAGCTAACCAATGAGTGTTTGCGTTCTATGACTCATCCAATCACACTAGTTTTCACTAGATGTGGGTGGAGCCAATGATCTGCATTGGATGGAGCACATGACAGGAAATAAATATTTAGAAACATTAAACCGAAGCCAAGAGTAACGAATAACGTTTGTTTTAAAAATGTAAGGAATAAAAAATACAGATAATTCTGTAAAAATGTAATGAGTGGAAATCAGAAGAAGGAAGAAAAATAAGTAATGGAGTAAAGTATAGATACTTAAAAAGTACAGTAATGAAGTATTTGAACTTTGTTACTTGACACCTCTGATCAGTTACTTTAAACAGAATTTAACACTGAAATCAAAAGAGCTTTTTATGCATCCATGTTATACATTGAATTTTTAAATAAAGAATATAAAAAATAAGTTTTTCCAGTTTAAAATGTAAAGTATTTTTGAATTAGAGAACAATAATCGTTCAGTTTGGTATATTTGGGAACAACCAAATGTTTAAGTGTGAGAAAGTTCTTTATGCAGGGGGTGGGTTGGTTCCCCTGGGCAGTGTTTGTGTGTGTTGGGAATTTGTAAGGTATAAATGTACTGAGGTTACCACAGTCAGAGCTCTATCTCTCCGTCTGAAGACATTAAATAAATTTGAACCTTTCCTAACTCCACGCACTTTATATACATCTTAGCCTCTATTAAGCGCTGCTGTAGACGGTCCAAAGAGCCGCAGGTTGCAGACCCCTGCTTTAAACCAAACTACGAAGTTCTTCTGAAATTTGGCTAATTTATGTTTGAATATTTTGCAAAAAATATGTTTCGGTGCATGATGGGGTTTTGCATCTAAAGCCTCCTGTTTCCCGTCTTACATGCAATGTTGCCAGCAGGGGCGTGCATATATAGACACTAGGTGGTGCTAAAGCACTAGGAAGTTTGCCCTTTATCAACGAAAATGCCCTTTTGAAACTCGTTTTTTTAATATATTTTTTATTATTAATATTATTAAGATTTTACTGAGCTTGGTTTTGAAATGATCTTTTGAAAACCTGAGCCATTAAAAACGACTGAAACAAGGCCCCGAAATGAGCCACCTCCTTGCGCGCACCCGACCAGCCTCTCTCTCTTCCTTTGTCACGTGAACTCGCTCGGTCGCCCGCAGGGCATGCCAGAAGCGCAGCATCATAGCAGTTTTCAGATAGCAGGAACGGTCGCTGACAGGCTGCTTCTCCCGTGCCCCATTAGCCAGGTAATATACAGATCAAGCAGAATCATTTTGTTGTGCATTAAAATGTCTCATTCAGCAGCACCAAACAAGCATTTTTGCCGACTGGTCACCTGATAAACTAGTTAGGCTAGATAAAGTTTTACACTTTAGCCCAAGTCAATGACAGATAACGTGAGGACGACCACATAGGCTACAAATAATTTCGGTAGAGTTTGCAATTGCAAATCTGTGTGTTAAGACAAACGTTTCCTGTTGTATAGGTTTTGTTAGGCAACATAATTTAACACATTTTGGTCTCTTTATTGCGTACTACTTTAAAGTAGTACGCTTTAGTCTGTTCTGTTGGTGGTGTGACTTTTTTCCATTGAAAACTCACGTTTAGAGAATGTTACAAATAAAGTCAAATTTCATTCAACATGCGTGTGTATTTTTTTTTTTTTATAATTAAGTGTTCCACGTGCGCTAAAAAGTGCCCTCCCCCCCCCCCCTCCTGAGCACCTGCCCCCTAAAATGTCTGTGCACGCCTCTGGTTGCCAGGTTGGGATGGCCATCAATGGGTAAAAAATTTCTTTAGATTTATGGCCTAAGAGATCAATAGACTTTGGTTCAATTTGGGCGAGATTTCATACATCCAGGCGGTTTATGAAAATGTTTTGGTCTGGAAAACATGAGGCAGTGACATCTGATGTCACATTCATGTTAATAAGGTGGCAATAAGCAGGCCGGTGTAGATGGGAAAATGCCAGGGCCAAAAATCGCTCCCAGTCCAGCCTGACCTGGTCTAACATTTTATTTCTAAGGATCCCTGCTGGGGAAGAGGGCCCCAGTCGGGCTCTCATAGTGGTTCCCAGGGCTGCTTCTCTTCAACGGGCAGTTTTTGTACTCGGAGGACTCGACGTCCTCCAGCTGGAGAGGGGCCAGTTTTCTTCTGGGCGACCCGATCATCTCCTCGTAGATGGGCGCCGGGGAGTTTGACTTGGGGCTCTGACGGGCCTTACCCTAAACACCATCGAAACACGACAGGAGAAGAAAAACAAATCAGGGAACTGAACAAACTAAGAAACGACAAACTCTCGATTTCCTGTGTCAAAATCAGAGTTTTTCATTCTCTCTTCCAGATTGTCTACAATTATTCAACCTCCAGAGGAGTTTAAACCTTTCAGGAAAGTATGAAAAAAAAAACTCTTTCCTTTAATCATTATATGATTAAAAAAATATTGCGAAACATAAAATATGTGTTGCTGCTAAGCTTTTAGAAAAACATGCTGACAACTCGCAGCAAAGCTTATGAAACCAGAGCGGTTTTTGTGGTGAGCTGGAGAGGAACTACTCTGGCACGCTCTGAGCTAAGCAGGTGCTGTTTTTTTTACCCCCCCTCCTCCTTCTATGAGCGATATCTAATTGCAGCAACCTGCAAAAAAAAAAAAACTTACCTTAGAAAGGGCGACACATCCAACGAGGATCAGGAGGAGGATGAGGACGCCCACGGCGCCTGACAGGGCGTACAGCAGCGTGGGGTAGCTGGAGCAGACGCACCGGTTGGCTGCAGGAAACAAAAACAAAAAAAAAAACATACAGACACGTTTAATATAAAGACAATTTCATTGTGTGAGATATAGAAAAAGGTGATAAGAGAATGTGCACATTAACAGCTCATGTGAGTCGGACCAAAAGCAGAAACCACAGACTTCCTTCCTCCTGAAGCTGCAGTTTGAATTTATTGTTATTTGAAGGACAGCGGTTACTGCAGAGAGGAGGAGATGGAAAGATCCGGAGCGTTCATGAATAAGAACCCACAGAACCAGGTTATCATCGTAACGCAGAGGAACTGATATGATCCACACACTTTGGCCGTTAGCAGGAGAGGAATCTAATCCCTGACAGCTGATTGGCTGGAGATGTTTTGATAGTAGAAGCGATCACCGTTTACATTCTGTGTAGTCGACGCTGTTGTTCTTTGTGCTTATTGTATCTATGCTTCTTTTTCTATGTCTGCTTCTGTCTCCTTGAACCCCAGTGGGCCTCAGCAGATGGCCGCTCACACTGAGCCTGGTTCTGCTGGAGGTTTCTTCCTGTTCAAAGGGAGTTTTTCCTCTCCACTGTCGCTACAAGCATGCTTAGTGTGAGGGATTGCTGAAGAGTCAATCAGTCGATGCAATCAGCTGGTTTTCCTTAGATAGAAAACTTTGAATCAATCTGACTGGATGATCTGGTGAACTGGAAAGTGACCTGAGATGACATGATGTGAATTGGAGCTATAGAAATAAACTGAATAGAATTATTGTTGTGCGTGAATGTTATCTCACAGGAAGAGATCTGGATAGTGTGGCATGTATTTGAACTTTATCCTGCTTGTCTTTTATCTCGACTGAAGCCGCAAAGATCTCACAGTTTGTCTCTACCGCCTGTGCAGCTCCTCCATTCTTCTGTGCTCAAACAGGTTGGATGAAGAGTCTTTCTACAGATTGCCGGTCAGGACTTTGACTAGACCACTTTAACCTTTTACTCATACCTAGTTTATTTTAGCTCCGGTTTTTTGACGATGGTCTTGCAGGAACCCATCTTACAAGTTCCCGGTGAAGAACCCCACACCACCATGCTGCCACTACCGTGTAGAGCTATGTGGATGGTAGTTTGAGAATAATAAACTGAACTTGAAAGCATTGTTTGATCATTCTGATTAAATTGTGTGGTCGGAAAATTTAGTTTCTCTTATTTCATATATTAATTAATGCTATTTATTCACTATAAAAGTTTCCATTCAGCCTGTTTCACCTGCAGAGCCACACAATTCCCCCTGAGCGAGGGATGTTTTTAGACATTCTTTCTTCCCATAACAAACCAGATTCTTTATCAAGGTTTATTCATAAACTTTTACAGTTTAACCAAAGTGTAATTTGTTTTGAACTCTTGATAAGTTTCCATTATTGTAAGTAAGGAGGAGCGAACGCTGCCCAGGCAAGAACAGGGCTGATTACCATGAAATAAGGACCGAATGATGAACTGTTCTCTCTTTAAAAAGATAAAAATAAAGTGCTGACTGAGTGAAATCCATCGATCTCCGTTTATTTAACTGGGGTGAATAGTTCACTACTTTTTTCCACTACAATCTCTTTTTCTTTTTTCTTTCTTCTAAAAAAACAACCTGAACTGATTCAGTTCTATTGAACTTGTTGCTGGGCCTGTTTATGTTTCATTCTTTAGGGGAATCAAAGATGCATATGCACTACTTTATGTTGTCTTATAACACAAAACAGTCAAATAAAAGTTTGTATACCGACAGAATATTGGAAATTAAGTGTTTAAATTAAATAGCAATGGAAGTGCATCAGTCCATAGACAACACTATTATTGATAATGTTGTCTATTAAGTTGTCTTTAGAAAAACTGAGAAATGATCTTAACTTCGGTGGTGGTGGTGGTGAGGGGGGGTTGGGGGTGGGGGGGATATTTATAACCAGAGTTAGCGTGTTTATTCTGATAAACATTGTGGTTTGGAAACTTCTGTCACTTAAGAATGTTGTTAGGTTGTTGCATCAAGTTATCAGATCGCTCATCTACAGCAGGGAGCTTTATTTGGTAGCAGAAACAAATTATATATATATATATTTTTTTTTTTTTTTTCACAGTGTCCTGTCTGGCAATGTGGCAATAAGAATAATTGTCTTGATGCCAAAAAGAGCCCAACAGATTTTACTTTCACATTTTATAATGCATATAAATAGCTTTATTATAATTATGCAGGGAGTTTTACAGTTTATATGGACGCTGCAATGTAAGTAGAGCAGAAAAACAGAAGAAGAAAAAGAGAAAAGATGAAAGAAAGAAGAGATAGAAAGGAGACAATGACAAAACATTTTCAGTCTGCCTCATCACCTGCAACGAGATGAAAAAAGAACAGCACAACCGAAAGACACGGTACGAGATATACAATAAAGCAACACCTTGAAACTATCGCTAAAGTAATATTATTAAGTCTGACATGTACTCTGTGTTACCTGAAGATATGAATGTGGGGTTTCTGTATGAAATTATTACTTTAAAGCTAAAATCCATCTTTTTCTGAGACTTTTGTATGATAAGTGACTTCTTGAAAAGTCAGTTTATTTCTATAGCTCCAATTCACATCATGTCATCTCAGGTCACTTTCCAGTTCACCAGATCATCCAGTCAGATTGATTAAAAGTTTTCTATCTAAGGAAAACCAGCTGATTGCATCGACTCATTGACTCTTCAGCAATCCCTCACACTAAGCACGCTTGTAGCGACAGTGGAGAGGAAAAACTCCCTTTTAACAGGAAGAAACCTCCAGCAGAACCAGGCTCAGTGTGAGCGGCCATCTGCTGAGGCCCACTGGGGTTCAAGGAGACAGAAGCAGCTGGAAAATCTGTCTGAAATCATTTCAACTAGCGAATCGTTAAAGGTGACGCTTGTCCTGCAAATCAATGACTGATGAATACAATCAGTTTTTTTTTTTTGTTAAAATTCTTAAGATATCTCCAAAAACAGTCTAGAGTAAAGGTAAACAGTATGGTGTCTGTGGGCATGAGGTTGTTCCAAAAGGCCACATGGTGCCAAGCAAGCAGTTGTGAAAATACCACGAGCCACCCACAATTTTTCAGTGTTTTTTTATTTTTCAATGCAACATCATTCAGTGTTAATGCAAGCTTTCACTGATTTAGCTCCATACAAACTAAAGAGGTTTGTAACAATAAAGAAGGTTCTAAAATACTTGTATTAGCCTTTACCAGGAGAACCAGAACCAGGCTCAGTGTGAGCGGCCATCTGCTGAGGCCGATTCGGGTTCAAGGAGACAGAAACAGACATAGAAAAAGAAGCAAAGGAGCACTAATCTATAACTACTCTCTTTGTTGGAAAAGGTAACGTTAAGCTAGTTCCTTAAGGAACTCTGTCTGGGACAGAAATTTCCATGCCACAGTGATGACCGAGAGCACATACAGTTAGTGACAGTAAAAGCTGAGCCCAAAGCAATTTGTAGGAGAGAAAGAGGACTAAACACTGAAAAAAACAGACCCAACTCCATCATCTAAAATCTAAGGTGTTAATGGCAGCAGCACAGCTGATATTTCCCTCCATAATGGAGTCACAGCCAAACAGGAACAGACCAGATGAAACTAGATATTAAACTACCAAATACTGCAGAGTGGGAGACTAGAGATAGAATGAAGCAGAATGATGAAAAAGGGGTCCCTATGTCCTCCAGCAGTCTAAGCCTATAGCAGCAGAACTATAGAGATAGCTCAGGATAACCTGAGCCACTCTAACTAGAAGCTTTATCAAAAAGGAAAGTTTTAAGCCTAGCCTTAAAGGAATAGTACACCCAAAACATGATTAGCCTTCATTTTCTACTCACCCCCATGCTGAACAACACTCTGGAGTACTTTTTCGATATCTCAAATGCATCTGGAGATCTGGGAGGCTTCTTGCTGTCTGCTGACATTCAAATAATGGAGGTCTATGGCGCCCGAGGCAGAAAGGTCCATAAAAGTCCACAAAAAACGTGTCAATATTCCTCCATGCTGCTCGTCCAATGTATTCCAAGTGTCCTGAGTGGGTAGCGTCCAGAATTTACTCGAAACGAAGTCATTTAGAATGTTTTTAGAGCATAAACAGTAGTGTATAGGATTTCCTGAAAGCGCGTTCACGAGTCTACGGAAACCGCGGCAGACCAAACCAGACGAAAGTGCGCATTCAGCGTCTGCTCTGCCGATAATGCAAGCGTAGAAGAAGAAATGTGCTGTTTACCTGTGCAAAGAAAGAAACAACGAAAGAAAAATGTCTGAGGACTTCAGTGTTGAGGAAGAGCATGAGTTCTTTGCCGAGCTGAATGCGCTGGTTTGGTCTGCCGCGGTTTCTGTAGACTCGTGAACAGGCTTTCAGGAAATCCTATAAACTACTGTTTATGCTCTAAAAACATTCTAAATGACTTTGTTTCGAGTAAATTATGGACGCTACCCACTCAGGACACTTGGAATACATTGGACGAGCAGTATGGAGGAATATTGACACGTTTTTTGTGGACTTTTATGGACCTTTCTGTCTCGGGCGCCATAGACCTCCATTATTTGAATGTCAGCAGACAGCAAGAAGCCTCCCAGATCTCCAGATGCATTTGAGATATCAAAAAAGTACTCCAGAGTGTTGTTCAGCATGGGGGTGAGTAGAAAATGAAGGCTAATCATGTTTTGGGTGTACTATTCCTTTAAAAGTAGACAGGGTGTCTGCCTCACGGACTAAAACTGGTAGTTGGTTCCACAGGAGAGGAGCCTGAGAACTAAAAGATCTGCCTCCCATTCTACTTTTAGAAATTCTAGGAATCACTAGTAAACCTGCAGATTGAGAGCGAGATAATAGATGCTTAAATTTCAGAACACCCAGCTCTGTGGCGTCACCCACCTTCCACAGAAAGAAAGAACACTGCACCCCTTAGACTGGTGCTTCTGTCTGACCTGCCCCGCAGGAGCAGCTGGCAGCTGTAGAGGGCGCTGTCCTCAGGCTGGAGCTGCAGCAGGGTCAGGTTGAAGGCCAAGCCGCTGGGTCCAGGCGCAGACACCAGCTGGACCCTCTGGGTGGGGAACAGAGAGCTTTGGTGCTGCTGTGAGTGGTAGGCCACCTCCACGGGGGCGCGGCCTGCTTGTCGTTTCAGAATCACGCCTTCCACAGCCAATCCCTCGCTATTTGGGGTGTGACACGGAAGCACAGCTGACCCACCAGTACACGTCTGTATCAGGTCAATGTCCACCGAGCCCGGGGCATCTCCAGGGAGAAGAAGGAATAAAATTGGATGTAATTTAGTTTTTCTTTTAAAAGATTATCCTATGGAGTCCAGTCCTTCTCATAAGGATTCATGGTGAACTCTAATAAAACACCAGGTATAACAGAACACAGAAATTCATGTTCAGAACATTTAAATCAAGAACAGGACAAAAAAATTACAGTTTAACAAAGAAAAGAACATAAATGGATTCGATCAATATGTTCAAGCATTAAAACAGATGTAATGAAATGGAGTTTGTGAATTAATAAGATAATTAAACATTAAACCCACTTGGAAATGTTCACTATTGTTTAAAGATTTCATTTATTAGGGGGGCCACATGCCGAAGGCATGGCCCACCTATTACTATTGCACATATTTATTCCGCGTATTATTATTATAGCTTATAGTTCTCCTCGTCCCCTAAAACTTCGGCGCGTAACTAGTCCCGCACGGTTTGTCGGATCGGGCCCAGAGTTGGCACACGCGTCGGGACCAATGGTGCGATGCGTGCTTGTATAAAACTTTCTCATTAGTCCGAAGGTTCGCGAATTATTAGCGAAAACGTCGCAAAAAAATCCCATAGGAAATGAATGGGGAGAGGTAAAAAAAAGCATAAAAAACAGCGCTTCACTGTGTCGGCATACATTCACTTAGAAAAACAGTTTAAAGCTCAGTTTGTAGATAAATCCTTCCTCTGCATAAAACTGAAGACGGCATGTTGATAACTGCTACGGTTTTTGTATAATCAGACCTCAAGCGCCACAAAGTTTTAGCAAAATCCACCCTTCTAGAGTGGAGAGACTGAAAAGCTAGAGTGTGAGGCAGCCGTTTTTTTAAGACCCAAAAACATTTTAAACTCGCCCTCACGGCCACATATTTATAGCTAGGGTCACCATTTTTGGTCAGTTTGTAGACTGAAACCTCTGGACCCGCACAATGTCTTCGGAATTACGGTAGGATTAATACTTTTCCTTAAAAACCCTCCAGACCGACCTAAAGTTGATCAAAATCAGAGCCGTTTTTCATTGGTTTTGGAGCAGAAGAGGGGAGAAAAACGATTGACAGTATGTGTTTTAAACTCGTCATAAATATTGTTCTGAAAGACACACATACACCAAAGTTGGCATAGTTGGAGTTGAAGGATTGCTGACGCTCACGGTGAAGAAATTTTCTGAATAACTCATACGGTTTTTGCTCAGCAGTCGTTTGTTCGGAGGACATTTTAAGCACCAGAAAGCTGGGTGACTGACCTGCTGCAGCTAGCTCAATTAGAAGCTCAGCTGTGATGAAACGTTTTTTCTTTTTCTTTCTCTTCCCATTCAGGTTGTAGATGACCTACAGCCATGAAAGTTACTCCAATTGAAGACAAGATATAGCTGTCGCTTAGATAAAAAGAATTTTTCAGATATCATTTATGGTTTTTACTCAGCAGTCGTTTGTTCGGAGGGGTGCTTTAGCAGCTTAAAGGTGAGTGAGAGTGAGGTCCTGCAGTTAAAACAAAGGGAGGAGCAGGTGGGATCAGCCATTTTGTTTGTGCTTCGTTTTGGGTTGTGAAAGACCTACAGACATGAAAGTTACCCCAGTCTGAGACAAAGGATAGATGTTGCTTTCACTGAAAGAATTTTTCAGATACCTTTTATGGTTTTTGCTCAGCAGTCGTTTGTTTGGAGGGTAAGCACCTGGAAGCTAGCTGACAGTTAGCTTCTGCAGCAGCCTGCTACAGTGCAGCTGCTGAACTCTTAGTGTGAGGCAGCCATTTTTTTTAAGATAAAACATTTTGTTCTTGCCTCACGGCCACATATTTGGAGCTACAGTCACCATTTTTGGTCAGTTTGTAGGCTGAAACCTCTGGACTCACACAATGTCTTCGGAATTACGGTAGGATTAATACTTTTCCTTAAAAACCCTCCAGACCGACCTAAAGTCGATCAAAATCAGAGCCGTTTTTCATTGGTTTTGGAGCAGCAGTGGGGAGAAAAACGAATGACATTATGTGTTTTCAACTCGTCATAAATATTTTTCTGAATGACACACATACACCAAAGTTGGCATAGTTGGAGTCGAAGGATTGCTGATGCTCACGGTGAAGAAATCTTTTGAATAACTCATACGGTTTTTGCTCAGCAGTCGTTTGTTCGGAGCTGTTCCTCCCATTCAAAAAAGCCTGAGAGCTAAGGAACGATAGTGCTGCGCTTTTCTCTCTGTCACTGACAGGCTCGTTAAGCGTTGTCAAGGTAACCGTGCTTCAAACAGATTTTACCTCTGCTGTTTTAAACAGCACATATTAATCTAATGGAGGGTGAAAGCACTGATTTAACATTGGGAAATGGATACTATATGACTGCTGTCCATGACACTTCCCTTGCCACTCAACACTGATAGACTTTCAAAATAAGACTCCAGGGACCCTACAAAATAAAAGCCTCTATATTTTTTACATATATTTATTGCCCTATATGGCTCAACATTATGACCCAAACTCAACCCCATTTTAGAGAATAGACTCTAGGAGACTGTTTAAAACACACCCTATGGCAAATTTCAAAATAAAAGCCTCCCATTTCCGCTTCATCTACTGCCCTAATAACATGGAAAAAAGAGTGATTTAACGATTGGAAAGTCATCAACTATCATTGCTGGGTCTGAACATTTTCTCTAAACACAACTCTGTTGGACTTTCAAAATAAGACTCCAGGGACCCTACAAAATAAAAGCCTCTAGATTATACTAATGCAATAATTGATGCAAATGGCTCAACATTATGACCCAAACTCTTTCAGGTTGTTTTTATTAGACTCTAGTGACCTTTTCAAAAACACACCCCAGAGCAAATTTCACAATAAAAGTCTCCCATTTACTCTGTAATACAGCAGCTATTCACCTAATAACATGGAAAACCAGTGATTTAACATTTGGAAATGGATTCTATATCACTGCTGGGCATGACCCATCTTTTGATGCACATCCATGATAGACTTTCAAAATAAGACTACAGGGACTCTACAGAATAAAAGCCTCTTCCTTATACACACTCATACATTCTGGCATATTGCTCATAGCCATTTTTAATTTCATCACTGCAATGGCTCTGAGCATGCGGGCGGAGCCCGCCATTGGTGATTTCATCACTGCAATGGCTCTTAGAAGGCGGGCGAAGCCCGCCAATGGTGATTTCATCACTGCAATGGCTCTTAGCAGGCGGGCGGAGCCCGCCATTGGTGATTTTTTTCATCGCTGCAAGGGCACCTAGCATGCGGGCAGCGCCCGCCAACTGCACTTTACCCACTGCGGTTCAATATGGACAACCCATATTACCCTTGTGCATCATATGCTGTGCACGTCTATTTCCCAGATTTCAGCACAAGTGGCACACAGCTCTCTTTGCCCATGAACTAGCCCTCTTTCCTTCCCTCAGCAGCCCTCAAAGGCGTAAGCAGTTGGTCTGGGGAGCCCCAATGTCACTTGCCAGGGCCGTATTGGCACAGTTACCCAGACGGGCAGTAGGTGGCCCCCCTCAAAATTTCTTTAGAAATTTTCTAGTTATAGCTTATAGTTCTCCTCGTCCCCTAAAAACTTCGGCGTGTAACTAGTCACGCACCATTCGTCGGATCGGGCCCAAAGTTGGCACACGCGTAGGGACCAATGGTGCGATGCGTGCTTGTATAAAACTTTCTCATTAGTCCGAAGGTTTGCGAATTATTAGCGAAAACGTCGCAAAAAAAATCCCATAGGAAATGAATGGGGAGAGGGAAAAAAAGCATAAAAAACAGCACCTCACTGTGTCGGCATACATTCATGTAGAAAAACAGTTTAAAGCTCAGTTTGTAGATAAATCCTTCGTCTATTTAAAACTGAAGACGGTATGTTGATAACTGCTACGGTTTTTGTATAATCAGACCTCAAGCGCCACAAAGTTTTAGCAAAATCCACCCTTCTAGAGTGGAGAGACTGAAAAGCTAGAGTGTGAGGCAGCCGTTTTTTTAAGACCAAAAAACATTTTAAAATCGCCCTCACGGCCACATATTTATAGCTAGAGTCACCATTTTTGGTCAGTTTGTAGGCTGAAACCTCTGGACTCACACAATGTCTTCAGAATTACGGTAGGATTAATACTTTTCCTTAAAAACGCTCCAGACCGACCTAAAGTCGATGAAAATCAGAGCCGTTTTTCATTGGTTTTGGAGCAGCAGTGGGGAGAAAAACGAATGACATTATATGTTTTCAACTCGTCATAAATATTTTTCTGAAAGACACACATACACCAAAGTTGGCATAGTTGGAGTCGAAGGATGGCTGACGCTCACGGTGAAAGAATTTTTTGAATAACTCATACGGTTTTTGCTCAGCAGTCGTTTGTTCGGAGGACATTTTAAGCACCAGAAAGCTGGGTGAGAGGGACCTGCTGCAGCTAGCTCAATTAAAAGATCAGGTGTGAGAAAACGTTTTGTCTTTTTCTTTCTCTTCCCATTCAGGTTGTAGATGACCTACAGCCATGAAAGTTACTCCAATTGAAGACAAGATATAGCTGTCGCTTAGATAAAAATAATTTTTCAGATATCATTTATGGTTTTTACTCAGCAGTCATTTGTTCGGAGGGGGGCTTTAGCAGCTTAAAGGTGAGTGAAAGTGTGTTGCTGCAGCTAGCTCAGTTAGAAGCTAAGGACTGAGGACCCGTTTTTCTTATTCTTTCTCTTCCCATTCAGGTTGTAGATGACCTACAGCCATGAAAGTTACTCCAATTGAAGACAAGATATAGCTTTAGCTTAGATAAAAATAATTTTTCAGATACCTTTTACGGTTTTTACTCAGCAGTCGTTTGTTCGGAGGGGTGCTATAGCAGCTTAAAGATGACAGAGTGTGGTGCTGCAGTTTAAACAAAGGGAGGAGCAGGTGGGATCAGCCATTTTGTTTGTGCTTCGTTTTGGGTTGTGAAAGACCTACAGACATGAAGGTTACCCCAGTCTGAGACAAAGGATAGATGTTTCTTTCACTGAAA